GCCTAATCTTTGTAGACAAAAGAATATGTATCCACAAAAATGAGACACGGATATCCACATCCACATTTGTGGGTGTGGACACCTGCAGATATTAAGCAAATAGTTTTGCAAGGCTCTGGGAGTAAGGGCCTTGGCTCTTCCTGGTTTCTACTTTGGGGGAGTAAGGAAGGAACAGTTTCTGAAGACCCATGTCTGTTAGTGTTAGAAGCAGACACAGAGTGTCCCAAAGACTTGTGAAATGTAGCAAGGTACTGTGATGAAGTATCATGAACTGTGAGATGGTGATGTATTTCAGAGTAGCCATGTTTTAGAAATGGGAAAGAAATCTTGAATTTGAGTCTGCAAAATACATCTGAGTAGCTGATCAAATTACATGGCCCAGTTATAGGGGATATGGTCTTGTAAGGCAGTGTTGATCATTCCTCTCGTAGCTGGGAACTTGTATCACAAACTTACGTGGAGGTGCCAGGAGGAACCTCGCTATACAGCCTCATTTTGGCCTGGAAGTTGATCTTTTTCCATAAAACAGAAGGGAAGAGTCTCAGATAAGAAAGATGCTTAAGAAGTTGACATTGCTTTCAGCATGGCACAGCAGGAACAGTTGGTGCCCCGTCAGCAAGAGTCAGAAGAAGCTAGCACATCCGTCACTCCTGTCTGTAATGTATTAAATGCTCTGAGTTTCAGGGCAATGGTGATTTTGCTATTCTTTGAAGAAGTTAGCTCCTTGGCAAGGGCCTTATTGCTAGTCCCTTTCTCTGCTTTAAAGTTCATGATTAAGGGCACTTTTTCCGGAGGATCGGGGCCAGTGTAGACGCTCTTTTCCGGCTTTTTTAAAAGCCGGAAAAAAGCGGCGGACATTTTTATTTAAATGCCGCGGCGGATATTTAAATCCCCCGCGGATTTCCCTACGACGACTAGTGAAATTTACATGCCCCTTCCGGAAAAGGGGCCAGTGTAGACGTAGCCAAAAAGTTTCTGCATTGTCTTTATTTATGAGAATGGCAGAGAACCCGCCTTGAGTTAGGGGTCACTGACACATAGAAAAGTCATTTGGGAGAAGGGGACACAGTACTCGGGAAGGGTGCTAGTGTGTTCTGGGGCAGGGAACAGGGTGCCAGTGGGGGCAAAGGAGAGGGGGCAGGGTGCCAGAAAGACAGGTTTCTGCAGCAGGGGACAGGGTGTGGGGGGGACACGTTTCTGCAGAGGGGAGCAGGTGGACAGGTTTCTGTAGTGGGGA